TACATTCATAATAGACTTCCACAGATTTAATCAAGAGGTCGGCAACCATGCGTAGTGGGTAATCTGAAAAATAAGGATTTCTTTTTAAAATGCACATCAGAGGCGAGCGGTAAAATCACTGAACATGGGTAGTCCTGACGTGGGTTCGATTTTAAGCGAACGGGCTGGTTGGATGAGCCTTTACGTGGTTATTCCAAACTGTAACGAGTATATAAACCAATTATCCTTAGAAAATCAGCCACGAAGGCGTCCCTTACCTGAGGCAGATAGTCGTAGTATGCTTTGCTGCAATCTATTAAATCAAGCCAAAAATATTTTTTAAAGTGTGTTCTATGATGAGGATATATATATATATGTAGTCCTCAGCTTCTTCTTTTCTTCAAGCTCAATGGCAACCTCAACAACAGCTAGATGATTCCGCAAGCTGCGTGACAGAATACTGACGATACCGCCATTGAGACGGAGACGAGAGAAAAAAGCAGAAGCAGCAGGATGACGCGGTTTGAGGGAGCAATAGAACTATGGACTGTTTAGTGATACCGTCTGATGTGATGTCACTCTGCTTGCGTGATGCTACGGACTCATGTTTTCATCTTACTGCTTTTCATTTTCCAATGAAAAGAAGTCATTCGTGTTAATTATGTTGGCGTGTTCTGCCATTAAAATTCCAAAAATATTATCAACGTCTCCATTAATAATGCTGAGCAAGGACACTACCAACTCACATATATATATACGAAATATGTACATTTATGCAGAAAATTTTATGGCTACATAACTAGATGAAACTTCCTTTCCTCCTGAAAAAAATACTTCTTCTTCGTCTCCCCTGTTGCAGTTCTTTTTTTTTTTTTTTTGTCAATATTTTTACCTTCTTTCTTTACGCCGCCCAGACGGTACAGTGGTTAGGGGAGCCGAATGAGATACCGAAAGTCCCGGAGAAGACATAGTTGTAGCTGTTTGCTTCTTCAGAAGAGGCAACGATGGCTACCTATTAGATTCCTTCACAATAAAATAGCTGCCACTACTGGCCTTAGGAGCGGTCAGTGTCCAATAGACAAGTGCCCCCCCCCCATTAGATTAAAAAAAAAAAAAAAAAAAAAAAAAAAAAAAAAAAACTTTTGTTTTTTTTCACTAATATTATATTTATAACACACTCATCTGAATATTAACAACAGTGCAATACATTACAATAAATGGTTTTAACTATTTGCTGTCAACACAAATAAGGTATTGACGAATTCCACTAATGGACTATTATTATCAAACTCTGCGTTAAATGATTAATAGTCGGATCCGCAGCAAAGTAATGTAATAGCGATGTCACGTATGTAAGTTTTCTTATAATCAAGAAAATGACTTTATGAGTCGCATTAGCCATATCGACGTGACACAAAAAACTTATTTTTGCTAAAATGAAGGAGCAATTGTCATAAGTCATACTGTAATATACTTATTAGGCCTTATTAATAAAATTTATAAATAATTTTCTTTATCCTGATTTATCTTTATCGTTTGAAACAATTTTACATTTATCAGTTACTTTAAATAATGGTACGGAAACAGTAGAAAAAAACATTTTCCGTTATGTAATTTCATCATATAATAACGCCCCGCGATGACTTGTGCACTTATTTACGAAAGAAAAGATTTAATTATTCAATATGTAGCCGTGCATTTATTTCTCTGCATTGCTTACACGAGAGGCTTGCAGCAAATATTTTCTCTCAAGTGGCAATATTAATGCATTTTGTCAAGATATAAAAAGAAACTCCCCAGAAAAACTTAAATGTATTTAAATATTGTTTTAAACCGTTAATTAATTTCTCGAGCCCTCTAATATAAAACTCCCGAAAATTTATATCGAAATTTCTACATAATTACAATTAATCTCTTATGTAACGTTGAAAAGAAAACATGTTGGATTAACAATATATAAGCCACCTTTGGTGGTGGTAATACATGCTAGTACAATATTTATACGCATAATTTTTCAATGTATCAAAACCAATTCAAAATGTACCATTAGATTACTAGAACTATGTAATTAAAACATCAGATCAGTTAAAAGAAATGCGCTTTGCGAAAAATATAGGTATTTTATAAGCATTTAAAGGAATACAGCCTAGCTGTTATTGTACAGAACCATCGTAAGAGCTTCACAAGTTTAGCTGCAACTACATGAATAGCTTTTCCTGAATCATTTAGACAAGGCAACTACCTATAATGAAGCTTGTAGAAGCGAGTAGCGAGCAATACCGGAACGCTTGACATTTTCATTGGATTCAGTACACACTCTGATATCGTATACATACATACATATACACATACATAAGCATTTCAGTTCCGACCCAGCTACACTTCAACAACACTACCTTTCCATTCTAATTAGCTGAGAGAGGATAAGTGTGTTATGGGGTTGTCCCCTTTGCTTCTGTGAGCTTTCCCCAAAGGTTTATTTCGAAGTGGGGGAAGGAAGGGCACTCAAATGCCCTGCAGCTGAATTCGGAAAAATCATTCGAAAGGAAAACTGAGAGCGGTTTGATTAGATCCTAGAAATGCTGTTTTAATAACAACGAGATACTTTCGAAAGGCAAAATGGTAAATACTTTGGTGTGAAATTTTCATAATTTAATGCAAATTTGAATCTCACTTTTAAATTAACATATTAAAATGATTAATTATGGTAATTAACCAGCTGAGGTAAATGTGATCGTTTTACTTGAAAATCTGGGAAATGAATAATTGTTTAGTTACTGTTTATAGGTTTGAAGTGGCGATGTTTGCTTCAGTCCCCAGATCTACTTTTGTCTATTATCGGGAAAAGAGAATGATTGAAAGTGCAGACATGCTTAGGACATATAATTTTAAATTCTAAAACATTTCAAAAATTTTTTTATCTTATATTAATATATTACAGGATATATTATTAAATTAATATTTAATTTTAGATACGTAATTTTAATAACTCACGGTTTCTCCATAATGTTTTGAATATTCAATATAAATCAAATTCAGAGAAAGCCATAATTTCCTTTTTCGTTTGTATTCGTAATTGTGAACGAATTTTTTTAATACTCCTAAAGTTATTTTTCAATCAGATTTCACCGTAAAATTATTATTAATCATTTACTCCCAACATTAAAATAACGCCATTTGGTTAAATTCAATTGTAGCTTTTCTAATCATAATGATGACTAATTAAAACTGGCGTAATTAAAACTATCACAAAAGTTGCCATTCAGAGAGTCGGATTAATGAATCTTTTAACTGCTTTTTAGAATTCCATATTAAAAATACAGATGTTATTAGTTGATTATAGTTTTATTTAGATGACAACGATTATACAATTAGGTCTATTTATCAAGGGGAAAAGCGCTGTAGAGAACATAATGTATCCTAAGAGAGCTTTGTGGGATCCACCGCTCAGTTTCCAATAGCGTTGGATATAAAATAAACAAGATCTAACTTCATTTCTATAGCCTCTCAGCCAAATACGCTCTATGCGGCCCTCACTACAATTCAGGAACAGCCAAACAAATATTTAAGCCTAACAATGATAATCAAACTGCCAAATGTTTCTCATTAACTTCAGAGAACCTAACATAGACCTATGAGAATAGTGAAAATGGACAGTATACAAGCTGCCAAAAGCAGCATTTATGGAATTGACCAGGATCGTATCTGAAGATAATTACAGCGAAAATTTCAAATCGACATGGTTTTGACGTAATGAATGAAGCTGTACAAGGAGGAAGGCATCTAAACTTTATCAAAAGGCAAATTTAGATTTGATTTCGATTAACCCGTTATCAACTGGTTTCCTTTGGGACATTGTCTTTACTCCACATACAAAAGGTGTTCAATAAATTTTAAACTTAATTTAGCCGTTTAAGATAGACATTTGTAGAATTCATTACAGTTTATCTCTTTACTTAGTGTTACGTGCAATAAAAATATGTTTTAATTAACTGATAAACAGTTTAGATGCAACATAATAAATGACAAATTCCTTATTTTCCATTGTTTCAATTTTTAACTTCATTGCGGTTGAAATTTCGTCGTCGATTTTTTAACTTACTTCGACATAAGCTATCGTGTTGAAATTCTCTACATAGACTGTTGGTCAACCACAGTGCAGTGTGATGAAGGGACTTTTTTTATTTGATATTTAAAGGATTTTTCGCATATATCGTCATTTAATTCAGGGAGTAACAGAGGGTTGGTATCTTGACAGAAGTAAAAGAGAAAACATGTTTCTAACATAACGAAATTAATCTTTAATTTAATAATTATTTATATTTAATAATACACGAAATTAAACTTATACATCAATATGAATTAAATTATTATGTGCATTTACCAGTCCCACCTCTACAGGTTAGAATGGAAAAGGCACTTTGCGAAATTCAAGCAAAATTAAATAATGTACAAAAATGAAGTAAAACAAAAACTGATAAAGTAAAACAAAGAACAATTTAAAATCTATTAAATTTTTCATAAAATGTATTACGCATTAAAAAATGCAAGAAAATAAATACTGTAATCTAAAGTCAAGCAAGTAATGTCGTCAATTAAAATAATTTACAGACCAGAAACCATAGTTTTGCATTTTAAACAATAAGCATAATTATCACAAAATTCCTGTTAATTAAAAACCATTATGTTAATTATTTAAAAACCCAAATTAGGCAAATAAATTAAGAAAGCTTTGAATAATAACTTAATAACAGTTTTCGAAAATCTGGGAACTAATTCTAAATAAAATTTATCCTAATATATGTAAAATGCGAAATGGTAATATTTTTGTGGTTACTAATTAAGTATGAAAAATTTAGAGTGTATCTTTGGTAAAAATATTAAGAAAAATATAGAATTAAAACTATTTTAGTAAGAAAAAGAATGGTGAATTTTTTAATCTTAAAATCTTCAGAATTTTTACCTTATTACGAAAGAATATATGCCAAACTTATAAGGCTTTTCTCCTGCCTTCTTAGCATGCTGTCGTGGTGTAATGGTTAGCACGCTCGACGCAAGATCGAGAGGTCCTTGGTTCGAGTCCCGGCGAGGGCATTGCTCAATTTTAATCTCGCCTGCTTCGAAATAACCCAAGTCTCTACAGTGGCGCCCGAACTAAAAAGATTGTGGATGATAACTGTCCACCACCAGGAATTTGCGATTGGGTCCCCTAAATCTCAATCGCCCTTTTACAGGGGGAGTATATAAGGTATTTATCTCGCCTTCTTAGCATTGCCTTCGTGTAGTGCGAAATGAACTCGTCGATGACCATCAAAAGGTTAAAACGAAAATTAGTATGAAGGTAAAATAAGTTGAGTTGTTTTGTGACAGACTACAGAGTTAACTCAATCGGGCTAACTGGAGATTCTGAAATAAAATAGGGCCTTTCAGTTAGTAAAATATAAGAAACAAATTCTTAAATATCTATTTAAAACTAATGTAAGGCTTTCTGAAACAATGTCTAATTCAACTGTGATTAAATATTACGTATATACCGTCTAATAAGTTTAGGTGTAACCTTTCATGAAAATGAACAGTTTAAAAGCCCCTAAACACCTTTATGATTTAACTAAAATAAACGGCAAATGGTAGCTAAAAATAAGTGCAATATAGAATTTTAAATCCCACATGTGGAATTTTAGATTTCGCTTATCATACAAAAGACGAGTGGAAAATTTTGTGCTTCACAGGGAAGATATGATGCTAGGTAATTAAACTTTTGTCGGCTATTGAGTTTGAGGAAATACAGTGCGAATTTTCACAAACTGTTTGCTTCCTTGTTTCCTGAACTAGAAAATGAAGTACTCGAAAAAAGCATGGTTGACAGACCTTTAACTGTAGATAACTCTATTGAAAGGACTTTACTATAACAGAAATTCTCCATTATATGTTGTAGTTGCTAGGAAATGAAGTCATATTATCAAAAACATCGATGCTATGCTAGATATGATCATGGATGGTTGTCGAATTGCTAAGGGAACAGTTTCTGTACGTTTGCAGATCTCGTCCATATGTGTGCTAGAAGTCATCTATCAAAAATTGTCCATGAACGATGTGTTGTCTGGACTGGAGTCCAGAAATTGTCACGAAACTACACTAGAAAAATAAGGAAGGAGAATTTTGAAGGCTAAAAAGAAAGTAAATTTTGGCTGATTTTATTAAGAAAGGCTCCACTGTCAGTATAGAATACCACGGGGAAAACTTGATGGTGAAACTGAAAGATGCTAGGGAAGTAGGGAAATTCAAAAAGGAGTCATTTTGCATCAAGACAATCCATATCCTCACCGTGCCATAGTAGCATAATCTGCTTTGGTCGATTGCGATTTTACATCATTTCCTCATCCACCTTATTTCTCTGACCTGCCCTGTGAGATTTCTATTTGTTCCCTGTTGTAAAGAAATCATATCTAGGACGTCATTTCAATGCTGCTGATGATGATGCCACTGAAGCGATTGTTTTCTGGTGTGAGACTTTATAGAATGACAGTAAACAAACTGCAGCACAGACTGTCTAAGTGCATTGATCTGGAAATGGTTATATATAGAAAAATAATAACGAGAAACTGTTGCTATAGCTCCACTCCTGTTTCAGATCAAAATATTTTATCTTTCCCTCATAAAAATAAATAGTCGTCATCGAATCAGTAATTAAAGACAAATAAACATAATCTTTATTTCCTTTTCAATAAATCTCATCAAATTACAATACAAGTCAAATAAATTTAGATACGTATCTTCTTATTTTAAATCAATGAACCGATTTAAAGTAAAACAAAATAATAATTTATCCTTTCTATCCTACTTCTACGCATAAAACGTTCTCGGAAAATGCTTATAATGTTTCACTTAAAATGTGATATATTACTACCAAGTTACATTCGATGCAAATTCGCCTAATTTATCTATGCCGTACATTTACTCCAGCCCTCCTGATATTCTTAGAAGTATCGGTAGAACTAATCTATTGGTATCTGTCATAAATTAACTGTCCCAATGTTTTGGGTAGTTTGAATTGTCTGATAACATACAAAGAAAAACAATGGTGATAAAGTGTGAAATCTTCTAAGTAAGATATATGAGACATTATCTTGTCGCATATTTGTTTCATATTTATATCGCGAATTTGTTTCATATTAGAAGGAAGAAAAATCACGTTTCTTTGCTCAAATTCATTTCAGTGAAAACGCAGTCTCGAGCCGCATTATTAAAAGATGCTGCAAGTCCATTTGCACTGCAACACGAAATACACTTTCTCCATGAATCATTCATTCATTTTCTCCGAATAGAGTACATTAATACTTCTAAAATCCAAATTCAAATATTCAATATTCCAGCACATCAACATGACCTTTTTCTCGAATTTTTTGAACAGAGGAAGAGTCTTTATCATGTTCAGTGTCATCACAATTCCATTTTTAAAGTTACCTAAATTAGATAAATAGTATAAAACTTCCTCATGATTTCCATATTGAAACAATTTAGATGAAAGAGAAAATTATGAAAATATGCATCATTAATAAGTTTTATGAAAAATAAATGTCCGAAATAGGAGAGATACGCTCAAAGTAAAAGTAATACATGGATAATCTTGAGGAAGATTGAAAAGAAAGAAGTACATATTATACTAGTATTAAATTTCTTGATATCCTGTAGTTATGTGCAAGATAAAGATATCTGAGCCGTTCATTTTACTAAGCATAGCACAAAAAATACTTTACATGATTGAAACTTGAGTAAACAATTTCAAACAAACACTGAATTTCCTACAAACAAATCTTCCTCATAGAAGTAGTTCACATTTCTATGAGTAAAGCTATTTCAGATTTGTTTATTCTGTTCCGAAACAAGTCGATTTATTTATTTATCTGTTATTATTTCTGTTTTCAAAACAAATTTATTTCCCCTTTTAGCTGAGGATACTAATGTCGATGCTATTTATTTCATTATTTAAAAGCAGCGTTTTTACAAAACTGATTTTAAAAGAAATCATGTAGATGTGAGTGGCTCATCATCTCATTTTTATGTCAAACATACAAGTTTCAACATCTATAAAAGCAATGCTTAAAAAATTCTAAATTTATCGATTAAGGTTACTGAAAGAAATACTTAAGACTCCATTTAACTCCCTTTAGGACGCATATAAATATAGAAGAGTCGAATAAAGTAAAAACATTGTCTATTATTAACTGGAAACAAACAGTGCGAACGATATTTTTAAAAAATATTTAATGGTGCTCTATAAAAGATGCAATCTGTATTGTATTTCATGCTTATAATTAAGGGATAATGAGAAAGGTTTATACTGCTCTCCAGAGTTAACAGTTCAGACAGTTCTTAGATGTACCTTATAATACATAAATTATTTTATACGCGTAAATTCTTTTATAGGTAGATGACCTCAAACATTGTGCACATGACGGGGTTCCCTAAAACTGTAACTTTTATTCTTTTGTGCCCTTGAAATTAATGTATTTATTTAAAAATTAAACACCTTCGATGATAAGACCGCCAGTACATTTTAAGTTACACTTTAAGAAATAAAAATGCAGTTGAATATTTGATGAGTGCAGGCCTAACTGAAGTTGCTGAACTAAACGTGACTATCATAATTAGCTATAGTTATGCAGTTTATATGTATAGAGCAATTATCGGTGTCGTTTATTTATCATTTAAACAGTGTGCTTATCTTATTATGATAATTTCATACAACTCATTTCTCTTATTCGACAATTAATTCGACATTCATTAAATTATACGATTTAAAAGGCCTTATCAAATTTTAGAACAAATCTGTAGCCCCCTAAAATGTTCTGAAAAGATTCAGATTTTTAACGATTGCCTAAAAGAGTTGTTTTAAATTTTAATATGGTTTATTAGTAAAGATTATCGATAGACAAGGCACAGGTGGCATAGCGAAACATTTTATAGGATTTCAGATAAATATGCATTTGAGCTAACATGGGAAGTTATATACCCACTTTGTATTTAAAAAGTGAAAAACTGTGTAGTGTAATTCTATAAAAATATTTAGTGTTTTTGATTAGATATTTAACGAATTAAATGCGTTTTTATTTAAATCACATTCAGTGGCATTACCATTTTATTTAAATAATTTTATTTATTAGATTAAAAACTAAAAAAAAAAAAATAATAATACTTTTAAGAATTGCATCTTTTGCTTTTAAACGCTCAGTTGGTTAATAAATAACAAAGAGATTAAATATGAAAGAAGAATATCTCATGATTTTTCCGAATGAGAACAGACTCATGAAAAATAAAACAACTCATTAAAATGAAACAGATCTTCGAGACTAAAAGAATAATTTCAATCGAATGTTAAAAATATCTGGTAATATAAAGAACAGCTACCTCATTTGCCGAAATTCCCTTAAATTAAATACTATAAAGTTAATTTTAATATTTAGGCTAATTGCAAACAACTGTTCTAAGATTTTCCGTATCCTTACAGTCCAACATCAGATTTTGATAACCGTAGGAAAATCAAATAAATATTTTTCTTACGAGTATTTTTTTTATGCTACAAAAGTCAGAAACGAATTTATGAAGGGGGGTCATATGACCTTTACTTTCTTTTCAGTCTTATTTTTTTGTGTCCTCTTTGGAACGAACGCCCCCTTCTCGAATGAGACTTGAGCTGTACTATAAACCCACTTATGATAAAACATCTAGTTAAAACAAATCTCTATCTTACAGGGATAATTTTAAATGCTTAAGTAAACCGTTCGTAAAATATTATTAATAACTTCTTTTAACTGTCAATTCAAGTTAAGAAAATTCCGATTGAAGTGAAATATTAAATATATAATAATTTCTAAGCTTTTTATGACTGAATCACGGTAGAACCCCAATTATCCGAGTTAATGTAGACGGGTGTTGACTCAGATAACATAGACTACAGAGAAAATTTTAATACTATAATCTCATACACCTTAAACCCCTTGACACCCTTCGAATATGTGACTGTTGCAAGAATTGGGATATTTTATTTATTTTAAAATCAATTACTTCCAACTTTTTACAGCTGACTACATAAA